TAGAATCACAAAGGAACACAAAATTGTTATAAAGAAAATATACTTTCTCACAATTCTTTCAAAAAGTTTTTGAAAATATACTGTTTCACAGACTATGCAGGCTGCAGAAATATGAATAAATAATTATGACACAACATAGTCCAATGTCTAATGGCAAGTGATGATGAGTCTGGAATCTGCTACTTGCATATCCATTATAATGCCACAGATTAAAAATCATATGTAAAAAGGTACACATAGGTTATATATTTATTTGTTTTATCTAAAGATGTTACATATTTGTATGAATGAAAGAGAAGGAAGTTTAAATTAGTGGTCATTTTCCCACTGCTTACACACTTCCCTTTAGTTTGATACAACTGATACAACTGAGGTACAACGACCAGCTTAGAAAAATGCAAATTTCTTAGTGCCATACCAGACTCACTTAATCCCAGTATCTTGGGATGGATCCAGAAGCTACATGATTAACAAACATCACCAGGTGGATCCTTAGGCACACTAAACTTGTAAAACCATTCCTATAGATACAGAGTCTGAATTAAACTTTTCCTTGTTCAACAAAAGCCATTATTGCTTCATTAAAGAAAGGCATTTTTCTCATCAGCTTGATGAGTCTTAACATTTGCCACAAACTATGAATTCTGAATATTTTTTGATATAAAGAACAGTCTCAAAAGACTAGGCTCTGTGATTGGAGAGCCAGTGAACAGACAGTTTTATATAGCACTTAATCCCTTGAACACAATAAACAACCAAATAAAAAAAAAATGAAGTTCAACAATCCAAAACAATTTCAGAAGATTAGATTTCTCAACAGCAATACTATAAGATAGAATAAAAGGAAAGATTCAAAATTCTGATGGAAGTGATTTCTAATCCAAAATTAAATGCCTACACAAATTATAGCCAAATGTGAGAAACATTTTCAGATATGCAAGGATTAAAAATTGTTACATTTTAGAAGACAATCAAAAGGCAAAACAATTATTAACTCCAAAGGAAACAAAAGGTTATACAAGAAAGAATATGTAAGGACTAATTGCATGTTCCTAAAACACATAGATTGGTTATTAAGTTAAATAAAAGCTGTGATAATACTGAAAACACAAGCCAGAGAAAACAGGGAAGAGAGAGAAAGCAAAGAGGAATTTCTAAAATTAAAAAATAGTAGCAAAGTAAGAATGGTATAAATGCAGAAGCCACTGACAAAGGGGTTCAAAATGAGTACAGAGTAGTAACCAAGCATACGACTACCTTGGATATTATCAGACAATATACATATAGTTGATCTTTAAAAAACATAAAATTTAAATTTAAAATGAAAAGGGGATCCGAATGAGATAAAGTACATAAATTTGTATGAATACCACACCAAGGGAGCAAGGATTATTTATCATGACTCTACAACAGGTCTTCTCAATCCTGGCAAAACTGACATTTTAGGCCAGATTATCTTTGCTACTGAGGCTGGCCTGGGCACTGTAAAATGTTTAGCAGCATCCCTGGTCTCTACCCACCGGATGACAGTAGCGCCCCTTCATATAGTTGTTATAATGAAAACTGTCCAGACATTTTCAAATTAATGAACTACAGTTTTCTTAACTATATCTTGGTAACAAGCATTTAAGATTGCCTATATAAGGCCCGCTGCAGTGGCTCATGCCCATAATCCCAGCACTCTGGGGGGCCCGGGCAGGAGGATCACTTGAAGTCAGGAGTCTGAGGTTGCAGTGAGCTGTGATAACACTACTGCACTCTACCCAGGATGATGGAAGGAGACTCTGTCTCAAAAAAAAAAAAAAAATTGCCGATATAAGTGAAGGAGTATGATTTTATGAGGCTTTAGATTATAAAAAGGAGGAGGACAAAGAAGATAAAGAAATAGGGAAATCTTTAGACATTTGTATTCAAAGATTTATTTTTCTGTTGTTAATACTGCTTTAACTGATGTTAAATAAAAATTAAAAGGAGTCAAACACACAAAAAACCTGGAACATCTGTTTGAGTAGATAGAGAAATGAAAAGCCAAGAAGAGATATTTGGGCTTAATGTGATAGATTAATGGATTTTGTGAAGAAAAATGATTGACAAGCAGTGTTTCGGGAAGCTCATTCTGCCTCTGACACATGGAAAGCACCGCAGACACCATGATTCTGAAGATTTAATAACAAATATGAAAGAAACTGTCAAAGAGGAATAAAGGGTGGAAAAGTCCTTCATTTGATGCCACTTATCCCTTTGATAAGAGTAAGTGGAATGTTCTGAGAAGGCAGTAGATATTGGGAAGATCATCCTCTCCAGGACAAGATTACAAATCATTTGGCCACCAGGAAAATCCCACAGACATTCCACAACATGTGGAACACCAGTACTTAGGACGATACCCAGATAATACTTTGCACCTTACCCACTGGTCTTCAGCATTATGATTTTGATTGGAGAAAAATGCTTCAACTCATAAGGGGGTTAAATGGTCAATTCAAATGTAAGATTATAAAGTATAAACACAATATTCAAAAAAAGCATACTAAACATGTAGACTATAAAATGGTAAACTGTGATATGATTTTTCTCTACTCTGTTTTCCCTCCAGTCCTCCTCCTACTAGCAAGCCTAAGAGCCTAAGCACACTAAGTAATTACCTTCCTCATGTTAAGTTCATTTATTAAATAGCACTACTCATAGTCATCGATAGTACACTTTTGGCTAATTCAAATTTTGTTTATAGATTACCAAGGAAAATGCAAAAATCTAACATCTTAAAATAAAAATACTGGCATAATGAAATGGGCAAAAGGAAATTATTTCTTTTAAGATTCCATATAAGCTTTTTTAAAACATTAATAGACAAACTAAAGAGAGACTGATAATCCACAATGGAGTGCTATTTTATTACTTATATACTTAAAAAGTCAGCATTACTATTTATTTTTTAATAAACATATTTGTAAAAGAATATTTCCTCTGAAAATAACAAAAAAGGTCTCAACAGATACATCATAAATTAAATTTACATATCACAAATCCTTTCAGTAGAACCTCCCTCCTTTAACCAAGAGGGAAGTATGAAGAAATAGAAAATCAGAAAACTTAATTAGGATATTTTAAACTATTTTATATGGTATAATTTTGCAGATACACTCACAATCACACATATCAACCTATATATAAGTTTATCCTTTTCAGTATTGTTTTTAATAGCAAAAAACTAAAATGAACCAAATATCCGTTAGTTAGAATTAAATAAATTAGAAATACAAAACAGCCAAAAAAAAGAATGAGGCAGATCTTTATGATCTAATATGGAGTTATCACCAAGATATTTCATTTAAACAGCACAACGTAACAGTATCATAATTCACAATTTACTTACAGACACATAAACATATATACCTTATTGGTTCTATATGCATGCAATGTTTCTGCAAGTATATGTAAAAGTCTAAAAACACTGAAGAGCTGGGAAACTATGCAAGGGTGAAACATTTAATTGTACGTCCCGTTTTTGAACAATGATCTCTGAACCGTGTCAATATATTACATATCCCCTAGCACAACCCCCCAAAAAGTATTTACATCTTTCAAAGGAGGGGGTCTGATCAGTTGCCAGTGATTCTGACAATAAAAAGGACTGCTCTATCACCAACTGCTTTTAGATCCCAGGTTACACGAAGTATTTAATCAAACTGGGTTAAACCATCTACAGTTTGAATATCTGTCCCCTCCAAATCTCATGTTGAAATTTGATTCCCTACGTTGGAGGTAGGGCATACTGGGAAGGGAGGGGGGTGCCCTCCCAGATCCCTCATGAATGGCGTGGTGCCCTCCAAGCAGCAATGAGTAAATGAATGAGTTCTCCACTCTATTAGTTCATGAGAGAGTTGGTTAAGAGAGCCTGGCACGCCATCCCCCCACCCCCTGTCCCGTTCTCGCCTTGTGACACGCCTGTTCCTCCTTCCCCTTCCCCTTCCACCATGACTGAAAGTTTCCTAAGGCTCTCAACAGAAGTAGATGACAGTGCCATGTTTCTCCTACAGCCTGCAGAACCGTGAGTCAAATAAATCTCTTTTCTTTATAAAGTACCCAGCCTCAGGTATTTTTTATATCAACATAAAACAGACTACCACACCATCCCTAACCATAGGAATACATAAATTCACTCTGGCAATCTATTCCCATCTACCAACAATTGCTTTGCTGATTATTTGGAACATTTTTTGTTAAAAGAAAAAAATCTGCTTATAGATAAATATCTTGTTTATTTATTAGTTTCTTAGATATAAGACAACCTAAGAAAAAATTCTTCTTTCAAAAATTAATTGCTTTAAATAAAATAGAAACCAAAAATCTTTTCAAATCACAGCCTATAAAATGGATGGAGGGCTGGCTACGCGCTCTCCTCTGAGCCGCTCACTGCATGGTAGAGACTGGTGCCCCAGCCGCCGCCCCAGCCGCTCCCGCCGCCACTCCCTGCCCTGCAACCACCGCCTGTGTCGCTGCGCCTCGGGACCAGCTGTATGATTAGGCCACAATCTTCAATGAGTAAACGTATTCCTCAGTTCCGTGGTATTCTTGGTCACACATTTATGGAGTTTCTCAAGGGCAGTGGAGAATACTGCCAGGCACAGCACAACCTCTATGCAGATAAGTGAACTGTAGAAATTCATTATTACTCCACCAAGAAGCCCCCACAAGAGTGGTTAACCTGGACACAGAAGTGTTGAATTGAAATCCGCAGAGCATTTTACAAGAGTCCTGATCTGGATGGGGTAAACCTCAGTGCACTTCCTTTTTGTTGCCTCAGTATTACTGGATTGAAGAATTGCTGCCTCGTGTTAGGAGGTTCATTTCATTTACCATTACTTCCAACTTCATACTCAAAGCACCGAGAATTTCAAGTGGAGTATACTGAAGTAGACTTCAGTTTCTTTGCATCATTTCTGTATTCAATTTTTTAAACTCTTTCATAACCCTACTGAGTGTTTTTTAACTAAATTAACATGGCTTGAATGAACCGCCCAGCTCCTGTAGAAGTCATATACAAGAACATGAGATTTCTTATTACACACAATCCAACCAATGCGACCTTAAACAAATTTATAGAGGAACTTAAGAAATATGGAGCTACCACACTAGTAAGAGTATATGAAGCAACTTATGACGCTACTCTTGTGGAGAAAGAAGGTATCCATGTTCTTGACTGGCCTTTTGATAATGGTGCACCACCATCTAACCAGATTGTTGATGACTGGTTAAGTCTTATAAAAATCAAGTTTCGTGAAGAACCTGGTTGTTGTATTGCTGTTCATTGTGTTGCAGGCCTTGGGAGAGCTCCAGTGCTTGTTGCTCTCGCATTAATCGAAGGTGGAATGAAATACAAAGATGCAGTACAAGTCATAAGACAAAAGTGGCGTGGAGCTTTTAACAGCAAGCAACTTTTGGATTTGGAGAAGTATCGTCCTAAGATGCGGCTGCGCTTCAAAGACTCCAATGGTCATAGAAACAACTGTTGCATTCAATAAAACTGAGGTGCCCGATATTATTGCCTTAGAAGTAAAATTTGACACAGGACCTAATATGTCATATGTATTAGCCAACATGTTGGCTTGGTGAATAAGTCTAATGAAGCTTCCATAAGAGTATTGTAAAGCAGTTTTCCCAGGCCGCAAGTTTAACAGAATTGCAACCTATGTGTCTGGGTTACAGTTAGCCTTTTTGGACACTTAGCAAAAGATTCTTGTTTCAGCATTTAAAATGTGCTTATCATTTGTACCAATTGATCTTTCCTGAAATCATGCGGTATTGAGTTATGTCTTATTTAAATCTATTCCCATGCCAGAATCTTATCAATATATAAGAAATTTAGAAAGATTAGGTGCCAAAATACTCAGCACAATACTTGTATATTTTTAGTATCGTACAGAACTAAAATCCCAGGAACTATGAACACTCTAGACCTTATATGGTTTATTCATTTCAGACATTGAAAGTAGGGTCTACATGGTTATTTGCCTGCTCACTTTATGTTTACATCTACCACATTTATACCAGTATACATCAGCTTTGCTTAACGATTGATTTTTTTTATTATTATTTTTACCAAGTCTTACAGTGATTATTTAATGTCTTTCTGTAAATCTCATTTTGTGCTATTACGAACAACCTCCATTTTGAAAATCTACATTGTACAGAAGCACATGTCTTTAATGTCTTCAGACAAAAAAGCCTTACAGTTAATTTAATGTTTGCACTCTGAGGTGCAACTTAACAGGGAGGGCCTGAAAAAAGAATGGGAGGGGGCTATTAAATATTTTTAGCAAAATGTTGCCTTTGTCTTGTGCAGAACATGTAGAAATATGCTCTTTAATTTAGTAAATATTTTTTAAAAGGTAGAGATGCTTTGTTAATTGTAGCTAAAACAATTCTTAATCATAAAATTTCTGAAATTCTTGTAATTTTTTTTCCATACTTATCAGAAGTTGTTTACCAACTTATTTTTGTTTGAAGTGTGATTTTTTTTTT